AAGGTTACCGTATATTTTCTTGGCATGTGTTTTGTACATCCCTGTATATGCACATGTCTCCCCCATTAGATTGTAAGCTCTCTGAGGGCAGGGAATGTTTCTGCTTATCCTCCAACCCCTGCCCCAGGGCTTGGCCTGGTTCCTGGCTCATAGCCAGTGCTTATAAATACTTTTTGACTCATTGAGGGGAAAAGATATTTCTGACATCAGGGACATTGTGAGCAAGGCACAAAGGGGTGAGATTTCACTGCATTCTGAGGGGACAAATAGTATTTCCATGTGATTGTAACATAGAGTATGTACAGGGGAGTTACACAAGAGAAAACAGGCTGGCCAGGCTGGGCAACCAGAAAGTACAGAGGGTTTGGTTCAGGGGAGGTCTTGAGCACCCAAAGGAATTTGACCTTTATTTGTGCAAACAAATGGAGCGTCAGAAGATTCCAGCAGAGAAGAAGCTGTGCCTGAGTATGCAGAAGAGGGCTCCTGGCAGAGGTACAGAAGAGGGTGGGCGGGCAGTAAGGCCACAGCCTGGCAAGACTGCAGGCAGGTGCTGATGGAGGCCTGGACCAGGGAGAGGTCAAGGTCGGCCGGAAGAGGCAGGAAGGGAGGCCTTGGGAACTCATTGGCTAGGGAAGGTGAGGGTCAGGGAGGAGGCAGGCGTACTGCCAGCGTTACAAGGCCAGGACCCTGGGCCAGAGCCAGACTCTGGGGAGATCTAGCCAGACCCTTTCCCCGTACAGCTGAGGAAACTGAAACCCAGAGCAGTTAGATGTGAGGCCCAAAGCCAGAGGGGCAGGGTGATACAGTGGGTGGAGAGAGCCCTGCTACCAGCATCAAGAAAACCTGCTTTCTGGGTCTTCCTCATACTCTAACCAGCTGCATGCTCTTCAGGTTTTACCTCATCTGTAAAATGGGCTAGCTCCTGGGGTTACCCTCAAGGTATAGATTATGATGAGACATTGTACAGAAAGCAGGCCTCGGGCCTGAAGGTGAGACATCAACACCACCTAAAGCTTTCTTTGGAGCTTTACTAACAAACTAGCTTGCATGCCCCGAGTGCTGTGTGCAGGCGTGTGTGTGCATGTGTGTGCCTGCGTGTGTGTGCATGTAAAACTAATCACTAATGATATCCTTCAGTGGTGAGATGAGGATTGGAGGCCTGTCAGTCAGTAAGAAATACTTATGGTGCATCCATTAGGGGAAATGCAGGGGCCTGGGGCTCTGTGCGGAGCTGCAGTCACTGGCTCACAGTCTAGCTGGGGAGGCACCAGACTGTACTGGATTCCCGTCACTACAATGACCTCTTCCTGTACACAGATTCAAATCTGTTCACAGACACCTGGCAAGTCCCTTGCCCTCTGTCTGCCTCAGTTTCCTCATCTGTAAAATGGGTTTAACAACAGCACCTACCTTCCAGGGTTATTGTGAGGATCCAGTGAATTAATATTTGTCAAATGCTCTGCAGATCTTAAATCCCTCTATCAATGTGATTATTATTATTATTTATTATTATTATTATTATTATTCACCCCTTCTGGTCCTACGGGGTTCTTGTCTAGCTCCTCCTGGAGCTCCCCAGGAACAGCCTACGGGACACACCGAATGCCTTCGTTGGGATCTCAAGGGCGCTCCGCCCAGCTGCTCCTGCTTTTCTTCCTGGGATCCCTCACTCTTGCCTCCTTGCCTGGCCCACTTCTGTCCTCACCATTCACGGGATGAGTTTCCTTTTATGCCATCTCTTGCCCAGACGCCACCTTCGGTCAGAGCCTTTCACCTGCTCTCACCCACCCTGGGTGTCCCTGGGGTGTCCCTCATGCTGTTGCTGCTCCGGGGAGCCAGCTAGTGTATGATTTTCAGCCATCCCGAGTTGGTTGCTAGGAGAATCTGTGTCAAAAGGAAGCGTTTTTCTGTTAGGAAGCAGCGGGGCTCATGGAGGGCCCTGCAGGATTTCTGAAATGCCTGCCGGCCTGCTCTTCTCCCGTTCAGTTCTGGGCCCGGTTCATTGTCTGTCTATCAACAGGCCTGTCATCATCGGGCCTGTACGCTTTCGGGAGCCCCTGGCTTTTCCTGTCAGATTATCGGGCTTGTTCAGTTGGGAGGCCAGGGACCTCCCGGAGGAGGCTCTGCAGTCCCCCGGGGGTGAGATGCAATCAGCACAATGTCATTTACGAAAGGGAGCACTGGAGGATTGCCTGAGGGATGGGGCCTTCCTCTGAGGAAAGGCGGTTGGATTCAGGCAGGTGTTCCTGGGAGCAGCCTTCCTAGAGGGATTGGAGCCCAACTGCTGCTGGCAGCTGTCTGCGATGTTAGCCCACCCATTGAGGAAGTGCAGCAGGCGGAATGGGGCAGTAACAAAGCCCAGTAAAGCTGTCTGTTGTTTTAAGATGGGAGTGGAAAGAAACCAGGGAAGAGCTGGGACAGTTAAGGATAAAGGGCCGTCCCAGGGAGGCTGGAGGAGGTGGGCTGTCTAAAGTATAGGCCCTCAAGGTTATCTGTGGCAAGGGGCGATAATCAGATCTTTCTCTTCTCTGAAGATGGAGGAAGGGGTGAGGAAATGGCTCCCGACCGAGGCAGGAGGCAAAGAGCTCAGAGTTCTGAGCCAGGAGGTCTGCTCTTTAGAGGGGACAGAGTCCTTAGAGCTGGGTGAGCTGGGCCACCCAGGGCAAGTCACTTTCCCCAAGCCTCAGTTTCTTCACCTGTAACCTGAGTGTGTTGGACTGCATGACATCTAACATCCTCTCCAGCCTGAGATCTCCATGTCAATGAACAGTGTAGGCAGTAGTAAGTAAACAGAGGAGCTCTGAGAGTGGAAAGGTACCCGTGGGGTCCGGGGATTAGGGAGTCTTCTTGAATGGACTGGACGTCTGGGGAAGGATGAATAGGGCTGAGTGAGGAACAGGAGAACTGAGGTGTTTCAGGTGGGGCAATCAGCCAGAGCAAAGGCAGACGAGACACATTAAAGATGGTCTCTTTTAGAGAAGCCAGAGGGCGCATTGTCGGTAGGGGGCAGAGTAGCAGAACCTGTTTTGTCTGAGGGCTAAGATGGGGCATTCTGGGAATATGAGCCCTTAAGGGCAAAGACCAGTTTCCTTTTGACGTTGTGGCCACATGACCTAGCAACATAATTAATGCTCCTTGAACTGGGCTGAGGAACAAGGCCTCCAGCCCCACCAGATTTTCCCAACCTCTCTCACCTCTGCTCAGTTTACACAGTTGTGTGAGCCAGTGTTCCCAAGCGGCAGATGAAGCTGGGCTCTGGGCCCCGCGCCCAGGAGTAGCTGCCAACTTAGCAATTCATTTCCATGGTGCAGGGGACCTCCAAACGGTCCAAGATGTCGCCCATCTCAGGTTCTTCTCACTGGATAGGATCACCCCAAGCGGGGGGCCAGGGAGATATGGATCTGTCCTTTCCCCACAGGCAGGATGAGAGCCATAGCCTTTCCCAGAAACTCAGTAGGCCAAGTCCGCTTTCAGAAGAAGGCGCTGGCAAAGACTCAACTGGGTTGGAGTGGACATGTTACTTGGAATTGAAGAGGAATTTTTACTTAATGTGACTCTATTCTTAGCCAGCCAGTGCAGACCAGGGAGGCAGACATGGGGATGAAGGAGAGGGCTTTGCTTCTTCTCCATCTCCATGACCTTTAATTGAATCTCCAGAGCTGAGGCCTTAGAAGAGCCTCAGAGGAACTCAATGCCCAGGGGTCTAATCAGACCCACAAGGTCTAGAAGCGAATCAGCATTTCCCATCAGATTCCAGAGGAGAGAAGAGGGAGCATGATGAAAATAGCGCTTTGTTCTGGAAGCTATGTGAGTTTAGGGGAAAGAAGATCTGGTATCTCAATAATCTGATATGATCCAGGCTTGGGGAAAGGAGGTTGAGGCCACGTTAGGGTAGGGGCAGCAGGAAACACAGGGAAGGGCCAGATCCAAGAGCTGTTCTGGTGTAAACAAGAGGGCAGGCCTTCGAGTCACAGAAGTCTGGGAAGGGAAGGGGACTGGGAAGGTCACTTGGTGATTAGCTAGGGGGGAAAGGAGAGAGATGAACTCTGAGTCCACATTCTGAGGAGAACAGTGATGTCACTGGCATTGATAGAGGGACGTTGTGGAGGATAAGTCCTGTTTGGAGAATATGTGAGAACATCTAAGGGAAGGGGACCCTGGTGCCAGGGAGTGAACACCAGGAGGGAAGTTGGGGGACTGGAGCTCTGCCTGTAGCTGGGAAAGTTATCTTATCTTAACCTCTCCCGGGTTAACTCCATCTGGGAAAGGAGGAGATGTGTGCAGGTGGGTGGTCCTAAGCCCCATCCAGCTGCAAAATGCTGTGATCCACATGGAAATAAGAGTCAGGGGAGAGGCCATATGGATATGCAGATCTGCTCTATTAACAGCCACAAGATAAAGAAACCCTCCTAGGGAAGAGAGAAAGTCAGAGAAAGTCTCTACTTCTGACCTCCCTCCAGCCTTCCCTCTTTGTAACAGACATGCCGGGTCAAACCCCCCAGCTCCGATGCTGGCTTGGGTCTCATTGGGCATTACGAAACAGGGCTTTGAAACGATCTGAGAGGCCAGTCTTCAGGAAAGCTGCTGGGCTGGGTGATAGGGGACAGGGGACGCTCTTGGGATCCTGCGGCCCCTCCGGGCCCACTTCACCAGTTTCTGCTGGACCTTCTACACAATGCTCCTTCCATGGGCATCTCAAACCCAACACGTCCCCATAGAAAACATTATCTCTCAGCACAAACCTCTTCCTCTCCCAAACTTCCTTCAGGCCTGGGCTCAAGGACCTCTTGGCTCAGGAGGCCTTTCCTGGTTCCAGCACCCCCACCCCCACCCCATGCTTAGACATTTTCCTCAAAGCTTGGCTTGTGTCTGCTCTGAATATGCCTGCACATCTGCCTGTGGATACTTGCACACTGTGTTCCCTATGACAAGGTAAGCTCCCTGAGAGCAGGGTCTGCTTTTTTATCCCTGGCTTTTAGCATAGTGCCTGGCACACAGGA